ATATATACATCTATCCTATTAGTTCTGTCCCTATAGAGAACCCTGAATGATACAACCACTTATCCCTCAGTCATCTAAAGCAGAAGCATGGCAGTATCACCTGTGATTCCCTTCTCCCAACTCCATATTCCGCGATTCCTATTTGATTGTCTGTCCAGGTTCTGGTTTAACTGCCTGGGAATCTTGCTCTGAACTCCAGCCTGCTGCGCCAGGAGACTGCTTTACAGCCAAACTCTTGACAATCTCCTCCTTAAGGGTTAAGGAGGAGGTATCCTTAAGGAAGAATACCCTTCCCTTAGTACCCCAGAGTTTTCTTAATCAGTGATCTCTCAGAACTGGCGCCAGAATGAATCCCCACCTGCCTTTGCTGAATTGCCTCTCCAGTATCTTCCTGTGCTACACCCAAGCTTGTAGCTTACTGTTGCCAAGTATCTGCCTGCTACTAGTATGTCCTTACTAAGCCAACCTCTGCCACCAGTGCCAAGCACAGAATTTGGCACAAAGAAAAGACTCAGTAAATGTTTGACAGAAAGGAGCAAAACGTTGTGTAGCAGTTATTCATTCTCAGCTGATCTCCATAGTCACCAAGCTCCCTACTGCCCAAAGCCACCCTCAAGAGGACACTTGTGGGTGAAGGAGGTCCCCAGGGCTGAAGACTCCATCAAGTCCTGTGGCGAAGACTTTCTTCGGCCAAGAGATCTAGCATTTAACTTATTGGTGATCTTGGTCCAAAGATTCTGAGTCTCAGTTTTCCTCCCATCTACTTCTCAGAGCTGCTGCGAAGATCAAGCTATGGAATGAGCATCCTTCTAAAGGGCTGTGTTGGTTTGTCACTATATGTAAGTTAGACTTAAATTTCTGTATGAAACAGCATCACTCAGCAGGTTCCTTACAGCAGATTTCTAGGCTCATCCCCAGAATTTCTAATTTATTCGGTCAGGGGATAGGGTCTGAGAATTTGCATTTCTAACAAGTTCCCAGGGGAATACTTCTCTTAAGCCATTTGGGTTGTAATAATGGAATACCATAGACTGGGTAACTTATAAACAACAGAAATTTACTTTTGACAATTCTGATTGATGGTAAGTCCAACATCAAGGTGCGAGCAGATTGGGTGTCTAGTGAGGGCCCATTTCCTGGGTCCTCATGTGGTAGAAGACATGAAGGAGCTCTCTGGAGCCTCTTTTACAAGGGCATTGATCTCATTCATCAGTGTTCTGCCCTGATGACATCATCAACACCCAAATGCCCCACCTCCTAATATCATCACTTCAAGGGTTAGAATTTCAACATATGAATTTTTAAGGAACACAAATATTCAGTCTATAGTAATACTGATGCTGCTGGTCCAGGGACCATACTTTGAGAACCACTGCCCTAGATGATTCTAAGACCATTTTTCTCTCCATGCTGCCCGTTTTTCCTCTATGAAGCACGCTATTTCAGTGCTTGCCTTTATGTTTTATCTTTTTTGCTGTTTTGTTGAAATCTGAACCCCGCCTGTAAATTCCTCTGGGCAGAAATTATACCTTCCACATTCCACACACACTCTCTTTCTGTTGTGTAAAATAATGAGCTCATTTCCAGTGTGATTAATAATAGAATGGGAAAAAGAGGAAAATCTCAGACTACCAACACCAATAAACAACACCTACAAATAGCTATCAGCCCTGGAATTCTCTTAAAAACTAATTACAAGGCAAAAAACATTCCACCATCAGTAGCAATGCAGGAAGGAAGATTGTCTTCTTGATGACACATTTTGTAAAATGTGGGTTATTCAAGATTTTAGCTGTAACTTAAACACCAACGTTTTTTAAAAATAAAATACCACAATTGCATTTCAACTCATAATTTTATATTGATAGCCAGACTATTGTGTTTTCAACATGTAAAATCCATTACACAGTCATGGCAACAGTTTGCAATAGATTGTAAATTTTTATTGAGATGATCATCTTGTGATTGAATTTCAAAATATATTATATGATCATCAGCAAATAAGTCCACAGGGGCTGCTAAAGTACTTTGAATATCATTTATAAAGATCAAAAATCCTGGAAACTCCTACATTTACCCTGTGGAAAGAGAGAAGTCTCATCAGCAGGATCAAATCAATTATTTTTATGGATGAATATTGCATTGTAGAGCTGAGATAAGGTATTACCCAGTTTAATAACATATCATTATGTCCTTTGAAAGTAGTAAGTTTCATAATCAGGTTTCAGTGAAGAATTTTACCAAAGGCCTGTTTTGAAAATAATCAAGAAAATGGCATCTCTGTTCATCATAGTGGTTCAATAACCTTACAAGGAATATTTCCAAGCGACGAAAATACCTGGGTTATATACTACCACAATACACCACTGATAGACTTAAGAATGGTTACAGCCAATCCACCATAACTCTTGTTTAGAAAATGCAAATGTGTTCCCACACAATTAATATACGAAAGAGCAATTTGAACATAACACAAACTTAGCATTTGCTTATGTGTGATTTTGTACGTGAGAAACATTAGGGAAGAAGAAATCTGCACCTAGCAGAACTGAGCCACCTAGAAATATACAAAACACACACAGTTCCAACTCCTACCTGCCCCCTCAGCTCACTGCCTGTGTTCTGAGCCACAACTAGTAGTACAATCTTACCCCAATTTCAAACAGCTTTCCTTCCACCACTTCACAGTCACTCACAGGCTGCAACCTCCCTGATGCCCACTTCCACAGCAAACTTCATGTCTTTTTCAAGGTAACACACCATCTGTGTTGAGTATCCCTTATCCAAAATTCTTGAGACCAGAAGTGTTTCAGATTTCAGATTTTCCTAAATTTCAGAATATTTGTCTATGACCTAACAAGATATCTCAGGGATGAAACTCAAGTCCAAACACAAAATTCATTTATGTTTTATATATATTGGGTAATCTTATATAATATTTTAAATAATTTTGGGCATGAACCAAGTGTGTGTACACTGAACCATCGAAAGCAAAGATGTAACTATCTTAGCCACTTATGTGGACAATTCTGTGATTGTCTGTCATCACCATAATTCCTGATTCTGAATGTATATACTATCGATAAGCAATCATCTTCTTATACTTATTCACACATAAGTGCTTAACAGTAAAAAGGAATAAATGATATGTCATTAATACTGTGAAAAATTAACATGTTCAGGTTAACTGAGCAGCACAGTAGCCTCAGCAGATATCTGGATCAGCTGCTGAACATCAGCAGCAAACATCCTGCCTTCAGTCTTCTCCCTGTGATGTTGTGCTTTGATAAAAGGATTCCTATGCACTGCATTTTAGTTTTGTTTTTTTTTTTTCAGTGAAAACAAACATCAGAAGACGTTGAGGAACCAGGAAGTGGATCCTCTAGGGATAAAGAGGCATTGTGCTGCATGGCTTTTTAAAATGTTTCCTCCAGGGCCATCTGCCTTATCAACAACGACTTTTGTCTTAGACGTCTCTGATTTTTTAAATTGACACGGTTTCCTGTTGTCCTGAGAATGCATACTGCTCCAGTCCTTCAATAAGCCCATCACCCATGTTTGCCGTGTCATCTACAGGCACTTTTCCTGCAGTGTTAGCAATGTCATCTTCATTTGTGACACTGTGTTGGCACTCAGTAAGTTTCAGATTTTGGGGCGTTTTGGATTTCTGATGTTCAGATTAGGAATGCTCTACCTGGATGAATGCATTTCATAGCCATTTCACATGCATAAAATTGCACCACCAGTTTTACTAGATTACCCTCTTTTTTGATGTATCACTAGTGAAGTAGGAATCTGGCTCCCTAGCTCCATTTTCTCCATAATCCCTGTGGTTTTTATTTCATAACTTGACAAAGTGTGGCGATTCTTAGGGACCTATATGTCAGGTTATGGCAGAGCTGAATGCGCTTTCCTTTGTTTGTTCCATGGTTCCTGTACTGATGGGTCCTTCCCCCCATCCCAGAAGCCTCAGTGACTCCTTTTTGTGTTCTGAAGCCCATGCTGCCTGCTTCCCTGAACCATGCCTACCTCCACTAGAACATCCCCAGCTGTATATAAGATGCTCTCTCTCTTACTGCTCTCTCTCTCCTTCTTTATTCATCATGATGTGGCCAAAAATCAAAGAGTCATAAAATCTAAGTGTAGTCAGTACCCCATAGAGACAGAATGGAATCCAGAGGACCCTCAGAGGAATAGTCCCAACCCAGACTGAGGTAGGGGTAGGAGCCTCCAGGGGATACAGAGGCAGGAAGCTCTTAGGGACTAAGGCAGTTCCAGAACAATTCAGAGACACTGTCAGAGCTAGGAGCATTTAAGACATGGTTGGCAACAGGAGCCCCTCAGAGACAATAGTGGAACCATCAAGAACCAGTACAGGAAACCATGGAGAAAATTGTCAAAACCAAGGGTCATAGGCCCAGCTTAGGGAGCCTCAGGAACAATGTTAGAATTAGAAACACATTAGAGATACAACCAAATCCAGAAGCCCCCAAGGACATAATCTAAATGAAGCCTTTAGGGGCCTCAGTCAGAGCCAGAAGCCCTCAGAGACACAACCAGAGCCAGGAGCCCTCAGAAAAACAGAGCCAGGAACCCTCAGAGAAACAGGGCCAAGGGTTCCCAGAAACACAAAACCAAGAGACCTCAAAGACATTATTAACATTAGAAAGCCTCAAACATATAAATGTCACCAGGAGTTCTGGAAGATGCAGAGCCACTGTGTCTCATCAGAAACACTATTAGAACCACGAACCTCCATGACCCAGCTAAAGTCAAGAGGTCCTCAAAACCATAGTCAGAGATAGAAAGCCTCCAGAGATGCAACCACAGCCAAAAGGTCCTCTAAAAAAAGACCAAAACCTTGATTCTTTTCATCCACAATAAGAAACATTCATATTCAAAAAAATTTCGGAATTAACTGTCACAGGAAAACAAGAGGAAGGCCAGTCTTGGCAACAGCACAGCCTCTCACAATGGAGCCCAGAAAAAAAATATCTTACCTGCACACTTGGTCCTGGTGGTGAGGGGAGGCCCTGGCGGTCCCGTACCCCCCTCACCTGGTCGTGTGAGGAGCACTCGGATCTCATACTCCACATCGGGGTCCAGATGCCACAGCTTATAGTTGGGAGAGTCGACTATATGGGTCTCGGCCCAGGTGCCCGTGGTGGTGCGATATTCCACTTCCTTTAGGATGATGGGGCCATCCCCGATGATGGAGTTGGCATTTGGCTTGATCCACAGGTATGTGGCCCCCACAGCCAGCAGCTCTGGGGGAGCAATGGGCGTGGGAGGCTCTGTAAGACACGCAATCAACAAAGGACTGTCAGACTCAACTGATTTACAGAGCAGACTCCAAGCACCTAAGGACAAGGCACAGAATTCTAGATGTAGCCACAGAAAATAGTCAGAAAACCCTTTTTATTTTATTATTTAATTTTTTTGAGATGGAGTCTTGCTCTATCATTCAGGCTGGAGTGCAGTGGAGCCATCTTGGCTTTGCAACCTCTGCCTCCTGGTTCAAGCAATTCTCAAACCTCAGCCTCTCCCAAGAAGTTGGGATTACAGGAACCTGCCACCACATCTGGCTAATTTTTGTACTTTTAGTAGAGACAAGGTTTCACCATGTTGGCCAAGCTGGTCTTGAACTCCTGACCTCAGGTGATCTGCATGCCTCAGCGTCTCAAAGTGCTGGGATTACAGGCATAGGCCTGAAACCCCTTTTTAAATTCCATTCATGCCCTACTTTAAGCGTTTTCATGTATGTACCTGAATCCATATTTCTTCAGTAACTATATTCAACACCTACCTTATCTCCTTCATTTAAAGAAACAAAGAAAGAAGGTCATGTGAGGAAATGGTTTTCCCAGAACACAGCAAAGCTGCTAGGTGAATACTCTGCTTTCTAGACTCAAAGGAAAACGTGCTTTTGCTGAAGTGAAGTTTGGCTCAAAACCCAGGGGAGCCCGAGGTCTATAAACATTTCTTACAGAGAACACATAGATTGTTAGTTGAAGTTCTTTCCAAAGGGTGATCTGAGCCTAAGTAGAAAAAGAATGATGCCACAGCAAGAATTCAGCTTCTGCCTCAACCCAGCAGGTTTCCTCTAGCAAGAATGTCATGGGCCACAGTGGACCCAGTGAGAATGAGGGGACAAAGGAAGTCATGCTGAGTTATCTTGCATCTGCTCTGTGCTGCCACCTCTCTTCCACTGAGTTCCACCCAGTCAGCTAAATAGACCAGAGGTTGAGCAGGCTTGTATTGGGGCCTCTTCCTTGCAATCACTAGTCCATGGCAAAGCTACAAAAATTAAAACTTTCTTGTGCTTCTTCCTTACTTTAAACTCTCACACATATTATTTCATGTAATTCTTGGAATAACATTATCACCTTCACTTTAATGGAGAAAACAAAAACAAAACAAAACTGAGAACCTAGGAAATCAGGTCACCTAACCAAGGTCGTGGAGAAGGTGGCACAGGATGAAGCTTATGTCTGCATGACTTCCTGGACCATCTTGCACCAAGGAAGGCTGTCTGCCTCTTAATACTCATTTTTTAAAAAATCACACTGAATATATTTGTTATTTTTATTTGAGGTAAAAGTGGCAGAACAATAAAGAAAATGTAAGAAAGAAAAAATGAGAAGAAATGGCAGAAAATGGAGAAAGATGGAAGAAACAGAAACTATCTCTACCCTCCAACATAGCCATTTTTAGTCCTCCATGTTCCATTTCAATGTTTATTTATGTAGTGACATATTTTTTGTGTGGTTATAACACACAGACCCAATGTAGATTAATTTTTCTTCCTTCACTTATATTGTAAGGATTTGTTTTTCATACACTGCTTGAGCTTTGTCATCACTGTCTTTAATATTTATAGAACAATCCATCAGGTTACCACACTAACTATTCTCTAATTGCTGGACACATGAGTTGTCACATGTTTTGCTATGGTAAATAACGCTGCAATGAACATCTTTATGCAAATGACTTCAGTCTGTCTCATCTCATGTTTTCTTAGGACCAACTGCCAGAAATGGGATTATCTGGCAAAGGGTCTGAATGAGAGGAAATGAAGAATAGAACAAGGAAAAGGAGAAAGGGGAAGCATGGGGGAGGCATAAGAGGGTGGTAGACAATGTGCATTTGTTTGAGAACATGTTACTTATAGAAGTCTCCGGGTTGTTCACATGAATAGAAGGCAGGTATACATTTTAGTTTGGAACTCAGGTAAGGGCTTTGAGATGGAGACTCGCTCAGTGTTTTCCTTCTAATTAATTACCTAGAAGGAAAGATTCTCTAGAAACAGAATAATTGCTATGAAACAGAGGTGGACAATATTTTCTCAGTGTGACTCGAAGCAAATCTTAAGGGACAACTTCAGATTGCCTCTATTATAGCCTGCCATTTGGTCAGAGAAGGAAATTAAGCAGATTAGTCAAGCTAGATGCTTTTCTTTACAAAGCCATGGAGGTTATTACTCAAGACCTTGTTATCTCAAAGGTGTTTGCAAATTGATTTTTGGATAATTTGTTCCAGGTAGAGAAGTTAGGTTGGCAGGCAGATAATTTCTGAGCTCACCCTTTGTGCATGTTAAATATATGGACCCTTTGATTGCCATTATCAACTCTCCAGAGCTCCCATCAGTCTCCAATGAAGCCTCAGGGGTGATATTTTATAGCTCTGTGATGACTCTGCCCAATTCCTTAATATAATTATTCACAGACTAGACCGCTACAGAATTAAGAGCAGCAGACTTCAATAATTTGGGGGCTGAGTGAGTGGCCCCATTTAGTTCTTTTCCATTGACTTTTCACCATGGTATTCTGCTCTCCTATTTCAGAGAGGAGTATTCAATTGCTGACCACCAGAAAGAAAATAAAGTATTAATCTTTCCAAATGATTAGCTTCTTTTCATGTATTTCTAATGGCATGTGTGAGTATGGTAACAAACATCCCCTTGAGGATATAAATGTCCCTCTCAAATGATTTGCGACTTCACACATTTGTGTGCAGATTAGCCATGTGGTTATCTCTCCCTCCATTCCCTCAAGAATAGACTATGTAAGTTTATTACAGTGTTTCCTCTATCTGGCACCAAGGAAGCCATCAGATTATTGTTTGCTTCATTCTTTCTTTTTTCAGTGATCCACTGATTTATACTTGGCATTCTTTAGAAGGCACATGTACTGGTGGTTCAGAGAGAGAAGAAAAATATAGCACAGAATGAATTCTTTGGTAAGCAGCACATCATTTTTAAAATACATGGAAAACCATATTTATTCATATCAGTTCTCTATCTCCAAGGTGAACTCTTCAACAAGACAGTATAGGAAATGTACAGGGCCATCCAGCCCAATGGCAAGAGCCATCAGGAAGGAAAAGGAAACCCTTGTGTATCCCATGTGCCAGACAAAGAACTGAGTGCATGAAATGTAATGCAGCCAAGTAACTCATGATAACCAAGTGCATAATAAAGTCACGACGAAGGTTGCAGAGGCAGCTTTGAAGCCTGTAAAGGAACCTAATCTCATTGAGAGTTTAGGGAAGCTCTTGCAGAGAGAGCTTAGGGGAGTATTGTGCTGCGACCACTCAGGTTGAGCCTATGAACAAAGAAAAATTCCTGGCAGTTCCCGAGTTCTGAGTTGCTTGGGCCAGACAGATTAACAATGAAAATGATGTGTCCTGGACACTCGTTCATTCACTCAATTGGTAAACATCGAGTCTCTGCTGCTTGTCACACACTGTCCTAGGCACAGACACAGTCTTGGCTGCGTGGAGCTCACCTTCTGGCCTTCACTCAGGATTGAGACAAAGGAGTCAGGAGAGAAGAAAGCTGACTCAGAAGTGGCTGAGGAGGAAGGCGTCAGAGAATGCAGAGGCCCTGGGAGCCAGACCTAGGTAGGAGCTTATAGATCCATAGAGGGATGCACACATACACAGTGAAATACCGCTCAGCGAGAAGAAATGAACAAGTTGCAGACACACACAACGACATGAGTAAATCCAAAAAAAAAAAAATCATCCAAAAGTAAAATAAAGAAGAATACATGATGACTCCACTTATGTGAAAAGTTCAAGGAAAAGCAAAACTGTTACATAGTGATAAAAGACAGAAGCGTAGTTACCTAGGTGGCAGGTGCTGACCCGTAAAGACCCTGAGGGAATTTTCCAGGATGTTAGAATGTTCTCTATATATTGATTTTGGTAATTAAATAATAGAAATCAGAACACTGTTAGCATAAGGGAGATGACTGCCTGGAAGAAGGCATAAGAAAAACTGGGGAGGCTATGACCAGTTCTGTATCTTGACTAGGGTTATATAAGACTCATTAAACTGTGAACTTAAAACACAGCTATTTCTAATTATATAAGTGATACCTTAAAAGTTAAAAATAAATCACAAAAATATGGATATGTGACTCAGCAGGTGGAGAGAATGCCACTAATTACTTGAAACTGAATCCAAGAAAATTGGGAGAAAATGAGCCCTTACTCCCATACCATTCCCTCCAGACCATCCTATCAGCACCATCAGATGCTTGAATTCCTAAAAGTTTTCCTAACAAGGTGTTGTTCAGTTTCTCATCCACACACCAGATTCTTATCCATGAGCCTTTTCATATCTAACACAACCAACACCTTACCAGACTCCACACATCATCAGCTGGGCAAAGCCAGGAGTAAGTGTTTCACATCTGAGGACACCCTCTGCTCACAAAGTTTGCAACCAAATTAAGGAGGAGAAAGTCTTGCCTTCAGGGAGCTGAGGCCTGAGCTGGGAGATGACTTCAGTGCCTTTCAGCCAGACATCAAAGTGCCGCAAGGACAAGGACACCAGGAGCCATCCATGAGGCCTGGGCAGCAGTGGCCCGGAGCTTCCAAGGCTCTCCTTCAGCATGTAGATGGTGAGGTGACCCCTTCATGTAATTTTGCCTTATCCTCAGGCAGCAATCTCCAGAACAATTCTGTCTTTCTTTTCCCTGCTGTGAGCACTTGTAACAGTTTGACTCCCCAGAAATTCCTACAGAGAGCAAAAGTGTTTCAAATAGCTGGAGATGGAGCTGTGTGCATGTATTGTCTGCCCAAGACAGAAATCAAACATTTTGAGAAAAACCAAATGTGACTAAGATGTGAAGTGAGCCTCTTTCGAGTTAAGGTGAGTATAACCTGGGCTCCAACACTTTCCTCCATACGTCTCACCCTACCTGATCACCATGTTAATTGCATTTTTATTCACTGACCCTCCAGGTCTGTGGGATTGTCTCCAGCCACCCCACCCTACCCACCAACA